TTATGTGAAAGCAAATTAACAATTATCAGGTTAATCATTATATAACACTGTAAAAAGGTTACTGTAATTCGATTTACAGTATGTTTGTAATTTCATTTACAGTATCATTACTATATTTTCATTCACGGTATTATTACTGTATTTTCATTTATTACAGTATTATTACCGTATTGTCCATTTACAGTACTTTCATTTACTGTATGTTTTTAATTAGTTTTTCTTAACTTCCATTAAACAAAATCCACATTTAAAACCCTTTTTTAACTTACAATCCAATTTCAGGATAGCACTGCAAACCACATATTTCACCCAAAAATTACAACATGAACATTTGTCCTTACAATATGCTTTTAATTGTAAAACTTTTACTTATTCAAAGTACAAAGAGACACCTGTCTTCATGTGAAGAGTGATGGCAGGATAAAGACCACAGAAGGTACCTGCAGGATGGTACAGCAAGCACAGTCAAGTGACTGAGATTGAAAGGGATTTGGTTTTGACCCAATGCCTGCAAAACATAACATTTTCTAGAATCAATCCAATACTTGTTGAGACATGTCATGTCATTTCACACACCAAAGTCCGTTGGATTCATTCACTTGGGATTCTTGTCTGAAGAAAATCTTACAACATTCCATATTGTGATATTAGTTATTTTACGCTATACATAAAAATCTTCGCATCAAAAAAGTGTTGAATCTTCTTTCCTTCTGGTGTTAACATCCATCCCAGTCAGTGTGTTGAAGTGATCACAGAAATCTTTTCATGTGAAGAAATAGCCACTGTTCTTTTGTTTATCATTGCTGTGTGGGGGTTGGTGATGGCATAGCTCTTACAAGCATATGTGACAGCAAGCAACAGTGGCTTCTAGTAGGGTTCAAGCATTAATCTTGGATCGAGTCCATAATCTTCTCACCATAGCTAAATGCTACTGCTTTATGGGTCACTGGCCTTGTGCAACACATTGTCGCAAGTTCAGTGGCATTTTCTCCCATCAGACTTCATACATCTCACCCAGTCAGAGATGTAAATAGTGACATGGCTTCGTAGCCTTCATGGCCTGTGTGAAGAATTAAAAATCTTTATTGTATAGTTGCATGTGTTGTTCAGGCATTTTAAGGAGTGTATAAACCCAAAGCTGAAATATCCACTACCACAGGAGTATTGAATACCTATGCTATACAAACATTTTGTTTCTGATACAGTCCTATCAGATTTGTTCCAGTACAGGGTATATACAGGAATACGGAAGTAAAATTAATACTTTTTAAGACCTTTTTTAAGACCTCTACAACATATTTTAAGACTGACGCGCCACTTTAAGCTGTAACTGGTCATGTGGAGTTTTTAAAAGGAATAAACTGTCACAGAGCGACCGGAGCAACGGCATTCTCTCGTTGCTCCGGTGACGAGTCTTGGGTTACGTATGTAACCCTTGTTCCCCGAGAAGGGGAACGAGACACTGCGTCGATGATGACACTATGGGAACGCTTCTGGGCGTGGCAGGGCTGAACTATGAATGAAACTACTCCAATCCTATTGGTGTTACTAGTGTGTGAATACGTAACCGTAGGGGTATATAAGCACGCCGGCACACAGGGCACATTAGCCCTTTCTATGAAGCAAGGCACTCCAGGCGGGGTGAGGTGTGGCGGACCGACGCAGTGTCGCGTTCCCCTTCTAGGGGAACAAGGGTTACATACGTAACCCGAGACGTTCCCCTTTGAGGGAACTCGAACTGCGTCAGTGACAACACTATGGGAACGAGATACCCCGCCTGCCCCCAGCGTGCAGAACCTGATGGCACGACTAGGAGGAGAGCGCACGGGTGCTGGGCGCAGAAGGAAGGTCCAGACTGTAAAACCGGATAAAAGTGAGGGGTTGCCCAGCCAGCCGCATCACACAAATCCTAGAAGCTGCCATGCCTCGAGTAGAGTGCGCCCTTACGGCCATAGGTGAAGGCAAACCGCGCACCTGATAGGCCAGAAATAGTCTGAACGATCCAGTTGCTGATGGTGTGTTTAGAAGCGGCGAGCCCAGCCTTGGGGGACCCGAAACACACCAGCAACGGGTCTGCTTTCCTCCACCGGGAAGACCTCAGAGTGTAAATACTCAGTGCTCTGACAGGGCAGAGCAGAGGTGGGGGATGAAACGCCTGCAGCACCGTGGACCCTGCCAGTCTGGCCGGAACCTTAGGGACATAACCTGGACAAGGGTGCAGGATGGCCCTGACCCTCCCCGGGGCAAACTCCAGGCATCGGGGAGTGCCTGGAGATCCCCCACCCTCCTCAGAGAGGTGCTAGCGAGGAGAATGGTCATCTTAAGGGTCAGGTGCTTGGCCTCAGCCAACTCCAGGGGTTCGAAGGGGGCCTCGGCCACGTCTGCACTATGGCATCCAGCCCTAGTGGGGCTGGGGCGAGAGGGAGAACCACAGGGGACAGTGCGTCGTCTCTTGGGACGCAAACAAGTCCATGTTTATGGGGCTGAACTCTTTGCATAATAACTCCACCACCGCGGGGTGTAGTCTCCATTCCCCGGGCCTCAGCCCCTGTCTCGACAGCAGGTCTGCTCCTTGATTCTGGGTCCCAGGGATGTACATCGCTCTGAGGGACAGCAGTCTCTGCTGGGACCACAGGAGGATCTGTTGTGCCAGTTTGCATAACGGGCGCAAGCGCATACCCCCTTGGGGATTCAAATAGGCCACCACTGCCGTATTGTCGGTTCTGACAATCATGTGGCGACAGCGGAGGGCGGGCAGAAAACTCCTCAGAGCTCTGAAAACCACCAACATTTCCAGGCAATTTATGTGCCAAGAGAAATGACTCACGACAGATCGCTCCCAACACGGGACCTTGGTACAGGAACCAAGATTTCCTCCATACAGACAGGGAACGAAGGCATCTGCTTGTAACCCGTATCAGTCGGAGCGGATTTCCCCTCGGGGAGAATCCCTTGGATTTTAGCCACCACTGCAGGGCTCTCATGTGCAGTAGCCCGGAAGGTATTATACTGGACGCTGCTGCCAGGAGACCCAACACCCTCTGAAAGTGTTTTATAGTGATGGCGCGGCCTTACTGCACTCTGGTCACTGTGGACAAAATGGACTTGACGCATGCGGGAGACAGGTGGGCCCGCATCGTCGTTGAGTCCCATCCCACCCCTAGGAACGTAGTCCGTTGGGCAGACGTCAGCACGCTCTTCTTCGCGTTGAGCCGCAGCCCCAAACGCTGAAGGTGGGCGAGGACGACATCTCGACGCCGAACCGCTAACTCTCGAGACTGGGCCAGCACGAGCCAGTCGTCGATGTAGTTCAGTATGCCGATGCCCTGGAGCCTCAACGGGGCCAGAGCTGCATCCATGCATTTGGTGAACGTGCGGGGAGAGAGTGCTACCCCCTACTCGAAGCCTCAGGACCTCTTCCCCCAGGCCATGACGGTCCTCAGATCCGTCTCTCGGGGGGCTGTGGGCGAGAGCGCCGTCTTGCGTCCCAGGTTGGTTGAGGGGGATCCCGTGAAGTGACGCTCTGCTTCTGGCTGCGGCGGTAGGTGCTGGACGAAGGCTGCGTCCGCCTTTCCTGAGCTGTCGCAGTCCAGGAGTCTGACCGGCGAGGGAGATATCGCTCGAACGCCTCCCCCTGTGTTTTGGCGTGCTGGAACCTGTTGACGACAGCATCCACTGCTTCGCCAAACAGGCCAGTAGGCACGATGGGCGCATCCAGGAGAAAAGCCCTCTCCTTCCCCTCCACGCGAAGAAGAGCGTGCTGACGTCTGCCCAACGGACTACGTTCCTAGGGGTGGGATGGGACTCAACGACGATGCGGGCCCACCTGTCTCCCGCATGCGTCAAGTCCATTTTGTCCACAGTGACCAGAGTGCAGTAAGGCCGCGCCATCACTGTAAAACACTTTCAGAGGGTGTTGGGTCTCCTGGCAGCAGCGTCCAGTATAATACCTTCCGGGCTACTGCACATGAGAGCCCTGCAGTGGTGGCTAAAATCCAAGGGATTCTTCCCGAGGATACCCGAGAGGTTGAGCCACAGATGGCGCTCCGTAGCCACCAAAGCCACCATGGATCGGCCGATGGAACAGGCCGTTTCCTTGGTCACACGGAGAGCTTGTGTCCGTTGCTCTACGGAGCTCAGTCAGGTCCTCCTCAGAGGGACCTCCCCCTACGTCACAGTCCCGAAGGAGATCGGCCTGGTATGCCTGCAAGACAGCCATCGGGTGCAGGCTAGCACCAGCTCGACCCGCTGCCATGTAGGCCTTGCCCACCAAATCGGACATCATCCGACACGGCTTGGTGGGGAGCGCCGGCGTCTGGAGGGATGAGGCGAGGTTGGGAGAGCGGTAGCTAGCCAGTGCCTCCTCCACCCGTGGCATTACTCCGTAGCCGTGCTGTCTGATCTCCATCACGTTGCCGTAGTCCAGCCGGGGGGACGTAGACAGCCGTGAAGAGAAGGGTTTGTTCCACGATCTACGGAAAAAATGGTAAGGGCCAACGT